ACACACACACACACAAGAGTTGCAATTTAAAAAAAAATATTGCTATATAATTTGTATGCAATTTTTTTTTAAAGAAATCGTTGTAAAATCTAGGTAAAAGACATCAGTCACTATTTACTTACTTCAAACTGCAACGTAGCTTCAGCTGGGATCAACGGTGGACTACCATTATCGCCGTAAGCATATTTCGGCGAGCATGTCAACACAGCAATTTCACCCTTCTTCATAGAAGCAACGCCAATATCCCATCCTTTGATGACGCTGCTGCGCCCAAGATCAAATTTAAATGGTTTTTCCCTATCTCTGCTGGAATCAAACTTTGTGCCATCTAGCAGGGTACCAGTATAGTGGACTTTTACTTTACAGCCGTTCGAAGGAGTCTCATCTCCTACTCCTTCCTTGATGATCTTCTTCAGCACACCTCCATCCTGTTCGGGAGTCAAGTCTATCTCTGCCATTCTCTGCAGAAAAGAAAAAGGAGATTATTAAAACGGAAATTATTCCCGGCGTAACGACACGATGTGATGACTTGAATGCTGCGTGAAGTACTCCGCGTAGAACTTTCTCGACGCAAAATGTTAATGCGCGAATATAAATGACGGCAGGAAATGATTCGGCACGCGGTGCGCGTTCTCATTCGCGGGTAAATTATGTGTGAAAATGTGGAAGCTCGGAGAAACAAGGAGGATACGTACGTTCTCCGAAAACGGAATGCTTTTCAGAAATATGTTGTGACACACACAACGAAGAGTCTGACCGTAATTTAGCTGCACGCGTGCCGGTGTATTCGAAACAACTGTCTGAATTGATCTCTCACGATTGCGCTCTGACGTGAATCAATTTCGGCAATTTTCCAGAAAATTCGATGTCTTGTTGTGCCAACAATCGGTATAGAAGGCATCAATAATGTCTTCTCGTCTGAAAATAGTACGTCTGTTTTTTTAGCATTGAATTTTGTTGAGATGAATTCAGATATAAGTGCATCCAAGTATCATTTTATCCTTGTTTCACATTTGAGAAAGAAGAATAAAATGATACGTGTTCGGTCTGAACTCAGCCCTGAATTTCTAATGCTGATACTTGAAAATGGCCGTGGTTTCCA